TTTTTCCTTGCGTTATGCGGGCCTCTCACTGTTGTGGCCTCTCCCATTTGCGGAGCACAGGCTCCGGACACGCAGGCCCAGCGGCCATGGCTCACGGGCCCAGCCGCTCCGCGGCATGTGGGATCTTCCCGAAACGGGGCACGAACCCGCGTCTCCTGCATCGGCAGGCGGACTCTCAAGCACTGCGCCACCAGGGAAGCCCACCTCGGTGGTTTTGATGCCAAGGAGGTGCCCCTTGCAGAGCAGAAAGAACCTTCATGTTCACCCCTACACTCTGCCAGCCCATCACTGCTTTCACCTCTTGTTTCAGCCTCATGGCCTCACTCCAGACCTCACCCTATTCTGACAGCCAGCCTTTACTCCAAGCCTGGGCAAAGCCAGGGCCCGTGGGGCCCCAGTACCTGAGGAGGAGCCCAGAACTGCTGGTGAGCCCCCCAGGCCCCAGGACTTACTCCTCAAGGATCCCTGCCCCTAGCAGAGGCCTTGAGTAAGGACCCACCTCCACCCTCTCCCAGAAAAACAGAGGCCAAATCAATGCAGTATCAGGTGTTTTTGTTTGTTTTTGTTTTTTTGCGGTACGTGGGCCTCTGACTGCTGTGGCCTCTCCCATTGCGGAGCACAGGCTCCGGACGCGCAGGCTCAGCGGCCATGGCTCACGGGCCCAGCCGCTCCGCGGCATGTGGGATCTTCCCGGACGGGGACATGAACCCGTGTTCCCTGGATTGTTAGGCGGACTCTCAACCACTGCGCCACCAGGGAAGCCCTATCATGTGTTTTTTAATTTCCATAGCTTGCCTGCCCCAGGGTGAGGGTAGGACCTCAGTTCACCTCCTCACAACCACCACGGGCTGCACGAGGGAAACCCCACTTCCCATGACCTGCCCCTTCTCCAGCCCTCAACTCTCTCAATTGGAACGATGTTTTCTAAAGTTCATTCTGTAGCCTGAAGTGCTCAGGTTGGGGGAGAAACTTTGGTCAAAGATGTTTAGGAGATGCTGGATGCTTTGCTTCCTCCTTGGGAGTTTGCAGTGCGTGTTAGCATCTTAAAGGCTCTGAGAAATCCTGCAGTTTGCAGAGTTGTTTAACTTGAGTGAACCTAGAGTTTCCCAAATTTCTTGGCTACCCATTCTTTTCTTGGTTGTGACCGTTAACGTCCAATGAACTAGCCTATCCTAGTCAGGCTTTGGGAGAAGTTATAGGAAGGAGTATGTGTGTGTGTGTCATTCCAGAGCTGTCCCCAAGGCTCCTGGAAAACCTGTTTGCCCAGGGCTGGAGAAACGGAGTCACATCCGAACCCCTAGAACTAGAAATGGATGAAGCCCACATCTGGGGGAATGAAGAAGGCAGTCTGGGATGACAGAGGAAACCTCAGTTCCTGTGAGTTGACTTTTCCCACGTGATGGTCCAGGGGGCTGGGGGACCCCAGGCAAGGCCCATTGGCTCCTGTGATCTCAGTTTGCTCTCTGCTAAAGCTGGGTAAGAACCTGCTTTGAGGATCTTTTGCAGATCATGGAGAGAGGTATGTATGAAAGCATTTAATTAAAATGCTTATACAGGGGTGGGATTGTTATTGTTTCCAGATGACCCAACACTTCCTGAGAAGAATCTTGAATCCACAGACAGTCAGGATTGGACAGGCCTGCCAGGGTTAGTTATTCGAGCCACCCCTTTGCACTGACGGGGAGGCTGAGGGCCAGGATCCGTGGGCCTGGGGTCAGGGGTGGTAGAAGGAATTAAGTGGAGAGCAGGAA